CGTTTATTAAATTTTTGAAGTGCCGCAAAGAGGGTGAACCATTGTCAAAGGGAGGCGGGCTGCGAAAATATACGTGTAGTGTGCGTGTGTGTGTGTTGGCGTGTGTGTGCGCCATTTTATGTTGTATTAATTTTACAACTTGCATTTTGTAACTTGCAACATGAGCATCATATATCATTATTTGCAGCCAAATGCGCTGCACTTAAAGTGTGTGTGTGTGTGTGTGTGTGTGAGTGCATCATGTTAAATGTACACACTGCTTTATGGCAGCTGCTGTGTTAATTTGCCATCAACTTGATTTTATTTTATGTAATTAAACCAGACGAAAGTCAAATTACCGTTGCATTGAATATATATATATTTATTAATTTTTATTTATTGCATTAATTTAAAGTTAATCAACCAATTGGCATTTAAACGAGTTACGCAATTTAATCGACAGCGATTTAACCCAACGATAAATAATTGAACATATACTCAGTCCACTTCGTTTATAAGTCATTCAGGTCGAATTAATTATTTAATTAAAAACAAACAGAAAACTCATCTAACTTTTATTTATAAACTATTCATGTTAAAGGGTTAAAAAAACAATTGAATTAATTATTTAAATTCTTTAATCTAAAAAACTGCAAAACATTTTTTGAATATTAATTTCTGTTTGATTTGTTTTTTGTATAATAATTTTTAATATAATTTATTAAAAAGTTAGAGGAAAAATGTTAAATAAAAAAGGCTCAGTCTCCTGCTTTGCTTGTCCTGCTGCTGCTGCTGCTCCTTCTCCTGCTGCTGCTGCCCTGATATATTAATCGAAAAGTTTACAAATCGTTGCTTTTAGCAGAATCCTTCGGGTCTCGACTTAAACTACTTGCTCCAACGAATGTGTTTGTCTGTGGCAAGTAGCAAGAGCTCAGGCACACACACGCACACACATCTATTTGATAATACATAAATACATTGTCTAATATTTGTGGATGCTTGGGGCAGAGCTGCGGAGCAGCTTAACTGTCGTCTAGGGGGCGGGTCTCGAAATTTGCTTTCTGTTGCCAGCTGCACTTGCAACATGCCGCACTTCATTGCAACTAAACAAGTTTGCTAACTATTTGAGTGAGTTTTCATGCGTCGTTGCCGTTGCCGCTTCCATTCTTATACTTATTTGGTCTGCTGTCTATAAACATGTATCTGAGTGTGTATGTGTGTGTGTGTGTGTGTGTGTGCGTGTTCTTTGTATCTGTGTGTGCATTAGCGAATTGTTGCAAAGACGTAAGGCTAAGCAAAGCAAAGAGTAAACACAAGACAATGAAGTCTGAAATAGGAACTGCACACATCCATTGGCAGACATGTATGTGTGTGTGTGTGTATGTGTGTGTGTGTTGCTCCATACTAAGCCGAGTCACAAGCATAGATAGTTACTGCAAAATACTTAGTATCTTTATCTGTATCTGTAAGTTACATACATATTGCTAAGAGGCTTATGATTCGAAAGCTTCAAAGTGCCGTCAGCAGGGCTAATGAGTTCCTTCAACTTGTAAACGAATTATAAAGCTAGCATCCATTTACCATATTTAGCTTTGGATACTATGCGCTGTTGCCGAATTTCAATTTAGTTTTAACTGCTTCGCTAACAAGTCTCTGAATTATTCTTGTGTTTATAAATAAGTACATATATCCAAAGTTCTGATGTCTTACTAAAGTGCGCTGTGGCCAAATTAAATTTTAGGGGCTTAACTTGCTTTTTGGGCGCTGTTGCCAAATTTCAGTATTAGTTTTCTTGACCTTTCATCGTGATTCTATAAGACTTAAGTGTTTAAATAATAAAAAAATGTAACATAAATCTTGGGTATGAAGAGTCATAAACATTGAGCTGCGGCGTTGCCAAATTTCATTGAAATTCTATATGAGTGGTTGCCAAACTGCATAGCTAAGCCAGGGCAGTTCTTTTTTCAGTGTGCGCTGTTGCCACACTTCATAACAGTCGTTAGGCCCACCATCCTGCCTTCAAAGTTCACACTTTAATGAAAATTGTTTGCCTAGAGCAAACTTTTGTTAAACATGCACTCCAAAGGCATCGTTCTAGCTTAAAGCTTCATTTTGTTAATAATATCTGAGCATTTTACTTGCGCTAAATACACTGTCAAGGTGCTGGACGCACTTCATTGCCTCCTGCTGTTTGCCAAACTCTAATTGAAAAGTAGTGTTGGAAAAGGACTAAATGCAATAGGCTGTAGGCTTACCAGAGTGCCTTGTTGTCGAATTTCAATTGCAAGTTTACACTGTTGCCGCTTTGCACCGCACTGCCACGGCGACTGTGAAATGAAAAAGGAAAAAGGAAGGTGCAGCTGCAGGCTCTCCAGTTAACCATGTCCAGCCCGTCTAATTGCTGACCAGCTGCACTCAAAGACCCATTTGCGACGTTGCCGAACTTCAATTAGCAACAATTTGCTGCAAAGTGCAGTTGGCCATGGCAAAGGGAAAAACAGAGCTTGCAACTGTGCCCTCAAGTGCACATTTTGTCAAATCAAAAACGGAATTTGAATTTCAATCAACTTAAATTAAATCAAAATTTGTAAAATGAAGTGCTCACTCTCACACACACACGCACGCACTCACACACACACAGATATTTATGTATATATATATATATACGCACAGCCATTTGCGAGTCACTTGAATGACTTGAACTGAAAACTCTCAACTTCAATTCCAATTTCATGGGCAGCAGCCAGTTGTTGTCCTTGTCGTCGTCGTCGTCGTTGTCCTCGTCGTTTTCGTAATCAGCACAAAATTTGAATATAATTCTCATGAATGCCCGGAGAGTTGTGTGCTCTGGTCTGGTCTGGTCTGGTCGGATTTGGCTTGGTCTTGGGCTCCAAGGGTCTTGGCCTTGGCGCACCCTTCGACCACAGCAGCAGCAAGCAAATGTTGAGCATTTTCAGAGCTGGGCACGCGGGTCGCTTTTTAGCCACAAAAATTCACAGCAAAGAAAAGTCGACAAATGCACTCGATGTTGTTGTAGACCTGCATGTGCTTCAAAAGCCATCAGGCAATGGCCAAGCCAAGCAGCCATCATCTGGCTGAGACTTCATTCTTTGCAGCCAGCCAGAGAGCGAGTCGGACTGTTGTCTGTCCGGTCTGTCTGGTCTGTCGGTTACGGTTACGGTTTTTGGTTTTTGCCTCAGACAATTTCGATGGGGGAACATCGGCAGAAACCGCACAAAAGATGAAAGGCAAAAATGCCCTTACACTTTGATGATTGCAATGATGCTTCCTATGTCAACCAGTGAAACTCCATATTTAGTTCCCTTCCAGTTCGCTTCTCTGCCTCTTTTTTGGTTTGTTTTGGGGCCGAGTTGCTGGCCTGATTAAACATTGCACACACGTAATCGCAATTGACGCCCCAGATTCGCGCACCTGTTGTTGCTGGTAACATGCTGCCCCACCTCATGAAAGAGTTGGCTTAGTTAAACTGACAGCTAGTTGTAGTTATCCAGTTATCCAGCTAGCCAGTTCTCCATTTGCCCAGCTCTCGTTACCCCAATTCTCGTTCACAACTGTCGACTGTCAAAGTGGTTCGCTTTGATTTCTTCTGCTTTTCAGCTTTCCGCGCGGCACGTTTCCATTCGATGGCCATAAATTTGCTTTGCAATTGAATACGATTTACCTATATAAATAATGTATTAGAAGAATATGCAAATTTATTTTAAATTGTGACCAAATACATGTGGGTATATATACATATATATATACAGTGCGCGCCAAAACTATGCAGACCTCGGTCAAGAGCTATTTTTAAATATTTCAGTTGGAACTTTTGAGCAATTTCAATTCTTTTTGGGATTAGATTAGCTTATAATCTTATATCTTTAAGCTGCCTTTCCTTCATATTACAGGGTATTTTTCGCGTTATAAAAATATGTTTTCATTTGTATAAATTTCAATCTGCCTTCTTCTCATGCCTTTTGCAGCTGCAGCCACTCGCCTAAATGTCTGACGAAGTGCCTTTGGGACGTTTATCGCAAATTTTTGATACACTAACCAACTTACAACAACAACAACAGCAACAACATCAGCAGCAGCAGCAGCAACAACAACAGCAGCAGCAGCAGCAGTTGCATCTGCAGCAGCAGGCAGCAGTAGCGGAGCAGCTGCGTCGACGCTCTGCCTCGTCGTCGCCCTCGCCGTCGGCTAGCGCCTCGGCGTCCTCATCGGGCCGTGCCACGCCCGCCGCCGCTCTGGGCGTGGCCGCGACACAGACATTGTATTACACACACACGCACAACTATTTTCTGCGGCCGCAAGATGGCGCTAGCTACTTGCATACGTTCCCCGCCACAGCCGCCGCGCAGCATTCGTCGCACTTCTATCAGCAGCATCAACAGATGCAGCATCAACAGCAGCTGCAACTGCAGCATCAGTTGCAGCAGCCGCCTTCGCTGCCCGGCCGACTATCGGGCTCTGGCTCCGGCTCGGCGTCCGGTTCTGCCTCCGGCTCCGGCACGCAGTCGCTGCACGCCTCACCGCTGCTGGCCAAGCGTGCCACCTCGTTTAGCGGCCAGATGCCGCTGACGCGTGCCGCCCAGCTGCACGAAGCACGTCTGGTGGCCGCCTCGACGCCCAACAGTCCGCGGCTAATGCCGCGACGCGCGCCACGCCCGCCGCCCATACCGGCCAAGCCGGCCAAAGAGCTAAATGCCTCGAGCGGTGCAGCCAACGTGCCTACGCATTCACTGAATCCTGTGCTCGCTGCTTTGGATGCACCCGACGCGCCTTGGCCGCACTTCTCGTCACTCACCGAGCACCTGGACGTGCATCAGCTGAACAACTATGGCCAGGCATTGCCCGAAGTGGGTGACAGAGCTCTCGGCTTTAAAGTGTTTATCTTGATCGCTCTAATCTCGCTTTTGCAGATCAACTGGCAGGAGCGCTGCTTGGAGCTGCAATTGGAGCTGCATCGATCCAAGAATCAGGCGGGTCGCATTCGGGATATGCTGCGAGAAAAGGTAAGTCTCAAAAGTTTTCCAATAAATCGAACTGTGAATCGGTCCAGATGAGCTGCTTCTGGTTCTGATTCAGAATTCCACGGCTTCAATTCGTATTGATTCGGCTTTAGGGAACTTATTAAAATGGAACTAGTTATAATTTGCTGTCGGAATCGTTACTATCTGAACTGGCGCTTTTATTAAAGTGGAACTGGTTCTTTAGCATCTTAATAGTTCATTCTCCAACTCCCAAAAAAAACCAAAGCTGAGTCTTCAAGATAAACAAGCTGCGAGGGAAAGAAAAGCAAAGTTTTTAATTAATTTGAACTAGTTCTTTTCAGATTCTCTAGCTTATATCTTATATTTGATATGATTTATGAGTATATATTTCATTTGATGCTATGCAAATTGTTCATTCTTAAAGCTTTTGAGTATTTGAATGAACTGTACAAATGATTTCAAGCTGGTTCCGTTCCCGATAAGTTCATGGAACTACAGGATATAGGATGGATGCTTGGGGGACTTCTTGATTAGTGCAAATGAGTTATTAAGTGAGAAACAAGAAGACAACAAAAAAAAAGGACAAAGTGACGCACAGACACATTAATTACACACACACAGACACAGGCACACACACGCAGACACATAGACAAACACAGTCTAATGTATATCTTGCGCTTAATGATGATTTATGGTGCCCATGGTTAAAACATTTTTATGAGGACCCCTTACAATTATCAGGCCAAAAAGTAATCTACTTGCCAGGAACCAAAACCGCGCGCGCCGCACAGCTCTCGGCTAGCTGCCCCCTGCCCCTCTTCACTACACTTCGCTTCCTGCCTTGCCCTTGGCTAATTTGTGGCGGAAATAGTGCAGCTGTGAGTTGACAATATCTCTGCTTACATGTGTGTGTGTGTGTGTGTGAGTTCTTTTATAATTAGCCTAATTAAGTCATTAGGCATTTGGCCAAAATAACAGCAGCAGCAGCAGCAGCTCTCTGCGGCCCTCGCAGCCTTATCCCACGGCATTGTCATTAGGCTTATTGGCAGCGCCATCTAGCGGCGCATTAATGCAAAAACTATATGAATTATTAAAATGTAGCACTAAAGCGAGTGGCTGCTGCTGCTGCGCATGTATATGTCTGTGTGTGCGAGCGGGTATTACTTTCATCTCGGCACACATGGCGCTTGATATATACGCGATACATGGACATGAGTCATGACATAAATTAATTACACTTCAATGATTTTTGCTGCATGAATTATGCATGAGCCGAGCGCCCCGCCGTTCACAGTCCATGCCCCAGCCCATGCTGTAGCGATCTTCTCCACTGAGTTCATAACAGATATATATGTGATATATATATATAAATGAATATATATATATATATATATATATTGTTAAATATAGAGTTATGTCTTCTTTTTTGTATTTGTTCATTTAATGCTGCTGCATCAATGTTTGCTGTCTAATATCTGAGAACTGTTCTGAATATGCATCTATTATGAATGAGTCTTGACACATGTGCTGCCAGCCTGCGCTGATTTCAAATGCCTTTCTGCAAATGTTTTGTTTCTGCTGTGCTTGGGCTGAGTTGACGAGTAACCCGAAATGACCTGCTCGAAAGTTGCTCTCTTTGTTGTTCTTCATTATGTTAGGCGTTTCTCCAGCAGGTGTGTTCAGGTGTGTTCGTGCGTGTGTGTGAGCGGCGCCTATTGCTATGCAATGGAAAGTTGGCCAGCCATTGTTGACTTTTGAAAAGGTAGCGCGGGTGGCCCAGCTGCTCGGTGAGATGAGTCGGGTAAATGCATTCGTTTGCTTTGTGCAATGCTGCATGTCGCTTTTAATGAAAGAATGAAAAACAAACACTGCCGGCTGTCAACGACTGTACAATGCCCGCTCCGCTGCAATTATAAACGCGTATATATATTCCAATTATGCTGTTCACACAGACCAATATGCTCTTCTGCTTCATATTGAAACGAATTGAATGTGAATGCTTGAGTGAGTGGGCAAAGCGTACCTTGAGAGCAGCTCCTGCTGACCAGAGAGCATTCGAAATGCTGCTGCAACACTTTTCAATATTTAATTGGCAGCGAACACAAAAAAAAAAACACGCATAACTACATATCAAAGCAGAGCACAAACGAGCAGCTGCTCTGCTTGACTGGAGCCATGGGAGCACCTAAGTAATTCAAACTATCAAGATTGAGTGCTCAACTTGGATAGTAAATTTGATATTTGTGGGCTTGAAGTTATATCAATTTTGAGCTATATTCAAAAAAGTTTTCAAATTTTATTTCAGATTTTGAAAGATTTTCTGCTTCACGTGCACCATTGAAGCTAAATATTTTCTACATCATGCGAGCTATAGGCTTACCACTTTTTTCTATTTTACTCTGTTATATTCACATTTAAATAAAATGATTTTGAATTCTAAATCTTTTCTGAAAATTTAAAAAAAATTTAGAAGTTTTCTTAAAATTAAATTTGATATTTTAATTTCAGTTCAGGTTGAAGCTTGCTAATATGCCATTCGGCAACTTGTTTACAGGATATCAAAAATATCAAAACTGAGCCAAATTGGAATAAATAACAACTCGAACGACTAAAAGTATGCAATGAATATTTTATTTGTGTTTTATGCATTTGCCATTTGCTATTTGCTGTTTGCTGTTTGCTGTTTGCAGCTCGCCTTTTGCCTTTTGTCGCCCATTTTTTTGAGCTGCTCGATTTTTGTTGCCTCACGACTACGGGCAACTTGCAACTTGCAACTTTTTGACGCAGCTGCAGCTGCAGCCTCAGCAGCAAGCGCTCAAGTGCAGCAAATTTTTGTCATCATAAATTTTAAATTAGTTGCAGCAAAAGTTGCTGTTGGCCCCTGCAAACATTATTATGATATTTATTTATAATTTATTTTTTTGCAGCTTTTATTTCATTTTAGTTTTTACTTTCCATACAGTATAATTTTTTTTTTGTTATTTTCGAAAATCCTTTTTAAATATTAAGAAATTCTAGAGAGAGAAAATGCTTTTATCTGAGTGCTCGCAAATATGCAAATTTTGGCGAGTAGAACAAAATTGTTGGGCTGTCGCTCACTTTTCGCAATGTCACAGCCAAGAGACAGCAAGCCAGAGATAGATAGAGGGAAAGAGCCAGAGAGAGGGAGATAGCGTGAGTGGAGCCGTTGGCTATTGGGCAGCTGAAGGATAGGAGCACATCGAAAGAGCAATCAAAAGAGGCGTTAAGCTAAAAACCACAACATCGACTGGGCAACTACCAAATGTTCTTGGCAACAATGTGCATGCCGTGAAATTATGGCCAAGCATATTGCAACATTCTTGTACGACAATAAAATTCAAGTTTATTGCCCAGCCCAACTCAAACCCGAAGTCGAAGTTCACAGACCCAGCCAAACAACTGGCCAACCAGGCAAAGAAATTGGCCGAAAAAGAACACCGAATGCATAAAGTTTTACGGAGCTGGCCACACAATATCACATTTACAGCGCTGCGACGTTGCCAAACTTCACTTGTTTTTTCTCCCCCACTCGTTTTAATGCTAGGCGAACGGAAAAAAGTGTAATAAAAATAAAAAAGTGTAATAAATAATAAACATAAATATTAGTACAATTTCTTTTTATGAAATTTAAATAATCCATTAATTGTTGCGTTGCCAAACTTCACAAAGTAAATACAATTTTGATATGCTTTATATATATACTTAATTTATCTGGTTTAAACCAACTGAGAATATAAATCTCTACATTTGCTATGTTGCCGCACTTCACTGAGCCCAGACTTACAGTCATATTTATACGCTTGGCACAATTGAAGCTCGCAGATAAAGAACTCTTTTAACAATTTACTTCGTGCACTTTCATATTAGCAAACTTGTGCATCGAACTTTGTCAAGAGATCACTTGAGTGAAGTGGATTTATCATATTGTTCCAGTAAGTTGAACTGAAGCGCTCAGCCAGTTCACTTGCTACACCCTGTATGAATTGCAAGTGCTTTAGAAGAGGTATAACCAAAGGTGGATAACCCCATAAAGTGTAGACATAATCTTGATCAGCAGCACAAGTTTTGTCTGTATGAATATATAAGAGTTTACACATAGTTGACCGACATACGAGCTAGAGACTTGAAGTTATACATGAGGTTCTTTTAAAGCACACCCGCAACAAGTTTGTTTCAAATAATCTATAAATCGTATATTTCTATCGATCAAAATATCGATAATATTAGCTTATCTGTCTGTCTCTTCATTTGTATAAACTCATGACTCTTAGAAACTAAACGATGAGTGATAATTTAAACAAGGACATCGATAAGCATCGATATCTTATATTTTTATCGATCAAAATGTCGATAATATTAGCTTGAACTTATCGAATCAGTCTCTTTATTTGTATAAACTCATGACTCTTAGAAACTAAACGATGAGTGATAATTTAAACAAGAAAATCGATAAGCACCGATATCGATAATCCTTGTTTGATTATCTCTGTGTTTTTATAAGACTTGGATGGCGTATAGAGGCTTACGTATAATATAAATGCATCCAGAATAGATCCATTGTGGGGCTTCTCTGTCCATATTTTCGCGACTGTTTGGCAACAATTCCAGGGTATCATCTAGTCGTGCACAGCCAATCGGAGCATTCTTATTAGGATTCCAGTTGAAGTGTACTTAGTGCTGTGCAACGTTTCAGCGGCTTTCTGGTGTTAAGGCGAGCTTTTAAGAAATTGCTGGGATGGCCGCAGCGCCATCTTGCCTCTGCCACTCAAGTGGCATCGGTCGTCCTTCAAATGGAGCCCGTGCACATTGTTATGAAATTTTGTTTGACAATTGCCAATGGCTTGCTTTGTCTAACATCTCGCTCTCTCTCCATCTCTCTCTTGCTCTTTGGTGTTTTTTATATGACCGTCATGGCCGTAAATGGGCCTCAATAAATCTGCAATGCCAGCGGCCCAGTTGCTAGTGATTGCACATTGGACACACACGCCGCAGTCACCGTC